GGAATACCCCATCTCAACAGTGGGCATTATAGACCTTAAAAGCTGTACAGTGTGGATATATGGATTAGTATACTTGGACAGGCACCAATCACCAGAGAGTGGGATCCAACATGTAAAATGGGCCATTGTAATGGAAGGAAATGGCAAAAACTTACCCCCTCAATGTTGAACTGAGGCATGCAGAATGGCAATGGGCTGTAATCAGTATCCAGAGGAGGAGGAGATGGACAAATGATATAAAGAATGTGCAAGGGTATGTGGTGTGGTCCACTTGCTTGCATGATCTCCACCAATGGATGACAAAAGTGGGTGATGATGGTCCTGGTGTGAGGAATCCTGGAAAGTAGGACAAGAATTGGAAGAGAAGGAGGAATAAGCCAACCAAAGAAGTTGAAAAATCCAACAAGAAAGGCTCACAGTGAAAGGTATCAGGTAGAGGAAGGATTCCAGTGGATAAAAAGGCATGATCCGGATTGGAGTGGGAATCCAAATGGGAAATGGAAAGGAGGGAAAGTAGTGAGAATATGATTTCGCAAAAATGGGTGGAAAATATGCACATCCCCATAGTAAGTGGACATTTTCAATGGTGCAGAATGGCCAGGGCATCAGACAGGAAACATTGGGACAACAACAGTAAAAAAAACAGGCGGTTACAGGTGTTTGTCATCTGGTCTGTGATAAGAAGGGAGGCCACACTGGCAATACCCCAAGCCCAGAAATCTGAAGGGAAAATGAACTTCTGTTCTGAAAATCTAGGATAGGCACATGTGCAGACCCAGCACAAGAAACACTAGGCCTCTCAAGAACCCAACACCCAAGCTATTGTAGGAAAGGGGCATGCAACTATGGTGGGTCAACTCCAGACCAATACTTAGTGTCATTGGAAATTTCTTGCCCAGTCCACACTAGGAGGAGGATCCCTACTAACCATAAGTATGAGGATGTATGTAGGCTGGCCCTATGCCAAACCAACTCCAGTCAACCCAGGAACAGACAAGCAGGAGGTAGAAGAACATGAAAATGGGTATAAGAAACAAGCAACTTGAGGTTCGGTTGGAGGTTGGGAAAGAGCAAGAAGTACCAAAATGAGATCCCAATTCAGAAGAGGTGTAGGACAAGGCAGGCGAATGAAAGGGAAAGGACAGGAGAGGAAAAAACACAAGGGGGAATGAGAAAAATGTAAAGTAATTGATAAGTCAGCCCATAGTCCTCAATGGTAAATGTAGATAAACTAGTGATGAACAACAAGGGAAAATCCTGGGAACACTAGGATTGGAAGGGAGGTATCCATGGCACAGAGACCAATGGCAGAAAACATGCTCCATTGTCTCCAATAAACCCTTACTTCTATTAAACCTGGCTACAAATTTTACTCATAGCTAACTCTGAAAAGAAGAAAAATGTATGAAGAGAAATCCAGTTAAAGTTATACTGAAGCCTGAAGAATGGCCATAGGTGGAAGACAAAAACCAAATGAAAAAAAAACCATGATATGGTGTAAATAATGGGAGACGAATGTATTAGGTGTAGTCCACATGCTCGTCTGTAGGATTTCCTCCAATGGCCAATGAAGACGAGATATGAGGGAAAAAGGTGAGGTGTCGAATCTGATGAGAAGCCACCTGGAACAAATTCCGGGAAGAAGAAGACAAGGAGGAATAAGCCAATTGAATCAAAATTCAAACCCAATTGTTGAGGGTAGAAGTGGAAAAATCCCGAACAGAAGAAGACTGCCAAGAGATAAAGAGTCGGGAACGGGCAACACGGAAGGAAGCCGTGCGGGTAATATAACAATGTAGAGTATGGGCTAGACATAGAAGTCTATCTGGATCAAGACAAGAATAGAGATGAGAAATAGAAGGAAGGAAAATATGCGAAAAGGAGGAGTTACCCTCCCTAGCCACTGAGGTCTTTGGGAAGAAGGAACGATCTGGATAATGAAGAGGGTAGGTAGGGTGTTAAAGCATATTTGAAACATCAATGGCAAATTTATCAGACCCTCAACATCCACAGGCTAAGATGAGAAGGAAATACATTTTAAGGGAAACATGAAAAATGAGGAAAGTGGTTCAAATGGAGATAAAGTGGGGGAATGAAGGACTACAATAATATCCCAGTCCGGAATAGTAGGCCCTCTGGGGGGACAACGAATCTGGAAGGAACGCATTAACATGGTAAGGACAGGGTTAGCAAAAACTCGACGTTATTGTGAAAAACAAAAGGTATGGGTTAAAGGAACTTGATAACCCAAGAACGAGGAGACCGAATACCTTCTTATTCGAAAAGCCTCATGAGAAACTCTGCCACTCGAGCCACAATAGTTCAGTCAGGGGAAATCCCCGAGTTGTAGGCCAACTGCGAAACACTCTCCATTTGCACTGATAAACTTCCATTGAAGAAGGACATGTGACGGATATTATTATATATTTATTTTAATATTGATGTTTGCTTGAATTAAATTTATATTTACATGTGTACATAACTTATACAGTTAAATATTTATTGCGAAACTCCCGCCTATTCTCCAAAGTTGTAGAAGATTCTCGTGTGTAAGAATCAACAATATATGTATGTACGTAAATGCTTAATGTAGCTTTGTATTGTTATGTAATCTGAATTTTCTAGAAACACTCCACACACCTATAAATATAACAAATGCGACGTG